CCCCCCCCCCTTTCCTTTTCACCTCTTCCTCAGGAATGCTCATATAGGTACTCTTCTTGTCTCCATAGAAACTTAAAAGCCCGGTACTTTCCTCAAAGTGTTTAAAACAGGTCGCGATACTCACATGTTCAAAACAAATACAGCACGTCTAGCAAAAATACAGCCGGTTGGATTAGGAGTATACTTGACATTTACTGATTATTTCCTTAGGTATCGAAATTGGCGATACAGGCACAATATGACCAGGGACTTAATAGAGTGTTGTGCGTGAGATGACTGAGTGGTGTGAACAGGATGACCCCTGGGAAGGTCATGTTCACAAGGAAACTGTAAAAGGTTGTTCACGCCAGCATTGGGATATTAGAATTCATGACATTGGCGCCTCGCCTGTTCCCCCTGTGTAAACACTTTGAAAGAACACAAAGGCTGTACCCATGTACACGACTGTTCCTTGAAGGAAGTTTCTTACGCTTCTTACCCACTTTATATTATTTCAAGTATATTGTTACACTTATTCACTATTTAGAACAATACTAATAATGTGTTGAATTTTTTATATATGGTTAAAAATAAATTTTTTTCTCCCTTTAAAATTTGTTTTGATAGAGCATTTTTAAATCAGGAATCAGGTTAAGCGGTAATTAGGTAAACGCCCTGAGGGATATGCTGAGGTGATCCAAGCCCTTCTGGACTAAACTTTCTCACGTGCTCTGAAGTGATCTATAATTCGAGTGAAATTTATTAAATGTTCATTATTATTATTACTATTTTATGGTCATTGACAAAATGAATATATTCTGAAAATTATATTATTACATAACGCCTATTTTTTATGAATAATCTACAGCTAGAACAAGTGTCTCGTCTTCTTCTGCTTCTTCGCGTTCACCGCCTAAACTCCCGCAGAAACTTCTGGTTGTTCGTCCACTTCTGTACTTTAGTCTTGTTCCAGATCTTGACTTTTATGTGTACGTCCGCTTTACAGAACTGGTTTATTTGTAAATGGACTCTTGTCTCTCAAACAGATGCATTTAAACTTTATAAGAAAGCCCTGAATAGTTTGATTTCACGACATGCTTGTTCAGAAAGCCGTGGGTTTATTCTCCGCCTCCCACCCCTTACCCACACACAAAATTATGCCACAAAACGCACACGCGCTTAAACAGCCACATATATTTTTTTTTTATCTCACAATCACTGCAGATACCTTAAGAACTTGCCTCAAGAAATCGCGCAGCACTGCTCCAGGCCCTGACGGCATCCGATACAACGACATGCTGATGATGTCGAATGCTGATTTGAAAAGCGTGGCAAAGGAATTCAATATCAGCATCCAGAGTGGCCAGATACAAGAGGAATGGCTCCATAGTTATTTGTTCCCACTACCAAAGCCTAATAAAGACCACTCGAAGATCTGCGGCTACAGAATCATCTCGATGCAGAATACTGTTGGCAAACTTTTGGAAAAAATTGTCGCACAAAGATTGACCACCTACTTGGAACTACATGATAAGTTCCCACCAACACTTGGAGGGTACAGGTTAAATAAAGAGACATGGTTCAATGCTGCAGTTTTCGCCTACGATGTGTACGAGGGATTTCAGATTAAAGAAGAGACATGTGCGGCAGTGTTGGACTTAGAAGATGCCTACAATAAAGTACCATACGATTATTTAATGCAATTACTGCTTAAACTAGAAGTTAATCCTATTCTGATTCGCTGGATTGCTGCGGTCCTGTTCCAGAGAAAGATTGTACTAAGATGTGGTAGCTGGTCCTCCGAACCGCAAACGATATGTCCAGGCTTGCCACAGGGATCACCGCTATCACCAGTCTTATTCAACGTTTATACGGTGATGATCACTGAGCAGCAGTTGAATGGAAAGGGGAGGACTTTGTCATTTGCTGATGACATTTTAATTTATCGACGAGGGCGTGATAGACAGGAGATCGCCAGCACTATGCACAAAGAACTTGATCGAATTGCCGCCTGGTGTGATGGTTCCAATGCCTATGTCAATCCTTCGAAGGCATCAGTGTCATGGTTCTCTTTGAACAATCACATTGTCCAGTCGGACTTACCAGAAGTGAAAATGCGTGATAATGTATTGATCAGAACCAACGTTATGACGTTTCTCGGGGTGAGGTTCGATCGCAGCTTGTCATTCAGGGAACACGTTGACCATGTGATAACAAAAGCACGCAAAGGTCTATCTGCAATGAGGATTATGGCTGCTTCCAATATTGAGCAAAGACTACTAATACTTCTATTCTACGGTCTGGTCCTTTCCCCCATTGAATACGCTCTGGCCATCCTCACTGTCAGTGCTACCCAGATTGAACGTCTCGAAAAAGGTGCAAAATGAAGCCATGCGCATTATTTTGGGATGTACTAGAGACACATCCTGTGGAGCAATGAGGTATCTACTTGACTTTCCAACAATGAACCAAAGGATCAGGATGTGGAGGGCTCGGGCATATCTCAAAATATGTGCTGATAAGAAACACCCACTGCATCAAGCGCTTTTTTAGTGAAAAGGGCGACAGACTGAAGAGGGGGAAATCGTGGCTAGGTCGGGCAGAAGATGTTATTAGGCAAATATGCAGCCTAACCGACATCATACCTGGTGCAGAATGGATACCTGTGCCTCAGGCGTTTATTTGTACATTTTCCTGTATTGTCACACTCAACAGGCGATGTAGAGAAGAGAATCCTGTTGCTGTTAATGCAGAGGTCAATGCTCTCATCGGTGAAAATTCAGACGAAGCAGATGCAATAATCTATACAGACGGATCCGTTATACGCCAAAGAAGAAGCGCATGGGCATTTACAGCACGCTCAGCGGGCAGAACAGTCAAAGAAGCCAACGGCGCCTTCTCCATGACAACCAGCAGCATGACGATGGAGGTGATGGCAGTGACACAAGCGCTTGCCTGGCTTGAAACACAAAAATACACCCGCGTGTGTATACTCAGTGATTCAATGAGTATGATCCGGAGGGTTCAGGCAGGTTCAGTGCGAAGACAATGGCTTGAATCATTACAGAAGACCACTGTCCGTGGAGTCACCTTTATTTTTGTTCCGGGACACGCAGGCGTCGATGGAAATGAAAGAGCTGACAGGTTGGCTGGATCCGCTATAACTACCGACGGTCAGCCTATGGATCATGCTGATATTATCAATGCCCTCAGAGAAATGGGAAGGATAGACGACTTTGGTGGCAGTGAATCCACATCACTCGCCAGAATGGCAGACTTGGGAATTAAGATCGGCACAGCAAAAAACGAGACGCACACCAGCTACGCCAGAAGACTTGTTAATCAACATAGAACTGGTACTATTAGCCATCGGACGTTGGGGTTCATACTGAGGGGAGGATCTGAGCACCTATGGACATGTCCGGAGTGCAATGAGGATAACCCAACTAACTAACTAACTAACTAACTAATATATTTTTTTTAAGTGGCTAAATTGAGCGAACTTCCGCTGTGACGTTTAAAGTCCAAACAAATATGGCTGCTGTTTATTTATGTGCACATTATGCCTTGAACACTTTAAACAACTAATCCTAGGGAAAAGTTAGAAATATTTGCAGAATTCAGTAATACTAATCTCCATTTGGGAAAGGGCACATAGTTCTAATCGATTTAATCCTCGCATGTTGAGTTATGAGTCTGAGTTGTGCTACAGTTGAGTCAGAATCTGAAAACCCCTGCAAGTCACAAGTGAATTGAGTCAAATCCTTGACAAGATAAGATAGAGAAGATGGATAGTATACTACTAACATGTATCAAGACAGAACAGCCTGAAGCAAATAAAGAATACGCAGATCAAGATAAAAGTATGTCAAATATTAAATAAAATAAATTTGTTGTTTTGTTTACAACACTGTTTATTTATGTTATTTTGAGTAGCCGTGTCATGTAAATATTTATGTTCTCTTTTGTTCTAACGACCGACCACTAGTGTCAGTTTCTTTTCTCTTAATTCTTTCAGGCCCATAAATTTTGACAAACTTGGTCCACATTTCCCTTTACAAAAATGGCAGAGGAATGGGTGTACAAGAAAGGCAATAGAGAAAGTAATATACTTCTAATCCTAATATAAGTATATTTATTTTTTTAAAGAGAAATAAATGGGCTATCCTTCGAATAACAGGCACTAAAGATGGCGGCCGCAAAATATCCTTTCAAGCCGCAGTCATGTGTCAATTGCCCACTTCCGGCTACTTAATTTGCGGTTTTCTGGTGGTTCTCTCACCACTTACCGCTACTGCCATGTGTCCTGCACGTCACTCACGTGGCGTGGATTGGGGCTAAACTAGATGGCTAGGACTCATGAGCAGCAGCTCCCGCATCTCCTGTAGCTTTGCACCAAATTTGAATATTTTGTCTCTGACATATTTATTAGTTTTGTGTTCTCATTAGCTAATTCATAAAATGCTTCTGTAGCATTTACAGTCGAAAGCCTGAATCCTCCTTTCCATATCCACAGTGAGAGTCCAATTCTCACACTCATTTAAGACAATTCAGCTTGAGTGAATGGAAAGATAATGGCGGAACATCATAGTGCTTTTTTATGTACAACTTCAAGAGTAGAGGTGGAGGCAATCACTGCAGCTCGGAAATGAATAGTGTAAAATAATCAGGAATTATAGTGATGGATTCACAGTCGGTGCTTTGGAAGGTTTAAAATAGACAAATGTGGTAAGAGTGGATACCAAATTAAAAAAAAAATGTGTAAGAATGTGAATTACAAAAAGCCAGTGACGTTCACACTCGAGACAGCATTGCAGATATAGATAATTTATTTCAAGCGAACAAAAGAAGAAAAAGTAGTAGTTCAAGGTACCACAGTATTTGTGAGTGAGTGTACGTGTGTGTTATAACAAGTAAATATTTCATTGTAGTGGCAAACCTATATTTACTGTGTGTGTGTTTCAGAATCATTTGCCTGCTCCCAGAATGTCTCTTCTCTCCCCAAACAAGAACACTGTCACATGGAGAGCATGGAGAAGATGATTTTTGGTACCATGGAGTTTAAGTTTGTGAAACAAGATTTTTCTGATGTGTTGTGTGAGGACAAGAACCAAAGGCTGAGTACAATGGTGGATGAGACAGGCTGTAGCAGGGATCAGGAGATAACAGGACAAAATAACACAGTATCAGGGCCGACTGACAGTAGTAATACAACATTCCAAGAGCACCAGTACTGCAGTAAGATTTCAGAGAATAAAGCTAAATTTATTGGTATTAGAAAAAAATTGTCCTTGGCAAGTAAGAATTGTCAATTGAAACATAACAGAGAAGAGAGCACAAAAGATAGACCAGACTTATCTGATGATTGTGATTCATCTGTCAGTGTTGATCGTTACATAAAGACACACAAGAAGAAATATACAGAGGAGAAACCTTACAAGTGTGATGACTGCAGTGCAGTTTTTACTCACTCTAGCAGTTTAAAGAACCACAAGAGAACACATACAGGAGAGAAACCTTACAAGTGTGATGACTGCAGTGCAGCTTTTACTCACTCTAGCAGTTTAAAGAACCACAAGAGAATACATACAGGAGAGAAACCTTACAAGTGTGATGATTGTGGTGCATCATTTTCTGAAGCTGGCAGTCTAAAGAGACACAAGAGAACACATACAGGAGAGAAACCTTACAAGTGTGAGTGTTGCAGTGCATCATTTACTGAATCTGGCAGCCTAAAGGAACACATGAGAACACATACAGGAGAGAAACCTTACAAGTGTGATGAGTGCGGTGCATCATTTACTAAATCAGGCCATCTAAAGACACACAAGCGAACACATACAGGAGAGAAACCCTACAAGTGTGATGATTGTGGTTCATTATTTTCTGAAGCTGGCTGTCTAAATAAACACAAACGAACACATACAGGTGAGAAACCTTACAAGTGTGATGACTGCAGTGCAGCTTTTACTCACTCTAGCAGTTTAAAGGACCACCAGAGAATACATACAGGAGAGAAACCTTACAAGTGTGATATTTGCTATGCAACATTTTCTCAAGCTGGCAATCTAAAGACACATAAGAGAACACATACAGGAGAGGAACCTTACAAGTGTGGTGATTGTGATACATCATTTACTGAATCCGGCAGTCTAAAGAGACACAAGAGAATACATACAGGAGAAAAACCTTACAAGTGTGATGATTGTGGTGCATCATTTTCTCAAGCTAGCAGTCTAAAGACTCACAAGCGAACACATACAGGAGAGAAACCTTATAAGTGTGATGATTGTGGTTCATTATTTTCTGAATCTGGCCATCTAAAGAAACACAAGCGAACACATACAGGCGAGAAACCTTACATGTGTGATGACTGCAGTGCAGCTTTTACTCACTCTAACAGTTTAAAGAACCACAAGAGAATACATACAGAAGAGAAACCTTACAAGTGTGATATTTGCTTTGCAGCTTTTACTCACTCTAGCAGTCTAAAGACACACAAGAGAACACATACAGGAGAGAAACCTTACAAGTGTGATGATTGCGGTGCAGCTTTTACTCACTCTAGCAGTTTAAAGAACCACAAGAGAATACATACAGAAGAGAAACCTTACAAGTGTGATATTTGCTTTGCAGCTTTTACTCACTCTAGCAATCTAAAGACTCACAAGCGAACACATACAGGAGAGAAACCCTACAAGTGTGATGATTGTGGTTCATTATTTTCTGAAGCTGGCAGTCTAAAGAAACACAAGAGAACACATACAGGAGAGAAACCTTACAAGTGTGATGATTGTGGTGCATCATTTTCTGAAGCTGGCAGTCTAAAGAGACACAAGAGAACACATACAGGAGAGAAACCTTACAAGTGTGATGATTGCAGTGCATCATTTATCCGGCAATCACATGAGCACATACAGGAGAGAAACCTTAAAGTGCCACATCATTTATTAAATCAGGCCATCTAAAGGCACACAAGAGAACACATATAGGAGAAAAAATCTTACAAGTGTGATGATTGTGGTTCATTATTTTTTGAAGCTGGCAGTCTAAAGAGACACAAGAGAACACATACAGGAGAGAAACCTTACAAGTGTGAGTACAAGTGTGATATTTGCTATGCATCATTTTCTCAACTGGCAATCTAAAGACACATAAGAGAACACATACAGGAGAGGAACCTTACAAGTGTGGTGATTGTGATACATCATTTACTGAATCCGGCAGTCTAAAGAGACACAAGAGAATACATACAGGAGAAAAACCTTACAAGTGTGATGATTGTGGTGCATCATTTTCTCAAGCTAGCAGTCTAAAGACTCACAAGCGAACACATACAGGAGAGAAACCTTATAAGTGTGATGATTGTGGTTCATTTTTTTCTGAATCTGGCCATCTAAAGAAACACAAGAGAACACATACAGGAAAGAAACCTTACAAGTGTGATTATTGTTGTGCATTATTCGCTGAATCTGTCAGTCTAAAAAGGCACAAGAGAAAACATACAGGAGTGATACCTTACAAGTGGGATTCTTCTTCTTCTTCTTGTGTCCTTTATCCCTCAATAGAGCAACGGCTCTGAATCAATTCACTCCAAGTTGTCCTGTCCTGTGTTGTTGCATGCAGCTCTTACAAGTTGTCCCTATCTTTTTAATTAAACTCTTCATCAATTTTTTTTTAATATGCCTTTATTTCTGTGCACCTGTTAGTTCAAGTACGAAGAAATTCTAGTTATATTGTTCTTAAGTTCCTCAGCGTGTATGTCCTACCAAACACCAGTTTCTATTCTTCACTTCTTGATTAACCAGAATTTGTTTAGTTCTTTCCTAAATGTGTGATTCTGTCATACCATTTAATTCCCTCTATTCTGCGCTGACACCATTTAATTAAGAAACATAGTTTATTATAAATTGTTTTAGTTCATTTCCATTTTCTTCCTACATGCAACAGTAGTGATTTGACATTAAAATTAAAAATTATAGGTTTAGTATTATTATTAATTTCCATTGACCACACATTTCCTAGTGCTATCAAAGCTCCTCTTGCCTTCTGTATTCATACTTTTAATATGTCTGTCAGTTCCCCATGTTTATTTACATTTCTGCCCAACTAGGTATATGACTCTATATCTTGGAGTGGGATACAACTGAGAGAAATTAGATTACTGTTTGCCTGGTTTATTCCCATTTGTCTTTCCATTATGGATTTTTAGGCCTCACTGTTGTAATATCTCATCAAGTATGATTAATTTAAGTTGCATCTGATTCCACGAGTGGGACAGAAGAAAAGCATCATCTTTGAAGTCTAGGTCATGAAGCTGTTTTGCAGGGGTCCATTAAATTCCATTCCTGGAGTTAGCAATTGCTGTCTTCATAAGTCTGTTGTGAGTAAAAGTAGGAGTGGTGACAAAAGACATCCCTGTTGCGCACCTGTTCTTATTTTAACTTTCTATGTTAGCTTTCCTTCATAAAGAGCTCGATATTTCACATCTTTATATGTTGTCTTTACTGAGTTAATCATTGTATTTGGGATTTCATAGTGCCTAATCAATTTCCAGAGAAACTCCTTGGCAGAGCTGTCAAAGGCTTTTCATAGTCAGTGAATTCAATTCAGTGCTTTACTCTGTAACTATGCGTAATGTTGCTATCTGGTCAGGGCAGAATCTGTTTGCCCGAAAACCTATCTGTTAATCTCTTAGCTGTTTATCAGTTGCACCTTTAGTCTGTTTAAAAAAAACCTACTTAATTTTTATTTTGTTTCCCCAGGAACTGACAACATAATTTTTGCACTCCTTCTAGTCCCCCTTGTTGGGCTATTTCCCAAGATATCCTTCTTTCCAGGCTGCTGGTATTTCTTCAGTCTCCCAGACTTTACTGAGTAAATTGTGCAGCAATTACAGAGATGTACGTTTTTCTTCTTTTTGTTTGTTTGCTTGAAATAGATTGTAGAGATGACTTTAATGTGTGCTTGTGGAATGATGTGACTGTGTCATGTAAGCACTCTCCAGTAGGGAACCCAATAAGTTGTTGGACAATCGATTTTGGGAACTTTCATATAAATATGGGTGAAGCATTAATCATTCACCTCTAGACACTTGTGAGATATGCAGTACCTACCTCCAGACAGCATACATCAACATCACAGCACACAAAGCTGGAGCCTGAAGGATTGAAAGAGGTGACAGATTATTTTAAAGTAACATAGGTTTATTGTCTTACATTACATTTCTTTACATTACTAGTATTGGAGTTTATATTGATCGTTTTACAAAATTAAAAACACTATGTATTCACATATAAAGGTTTTCATTTTTGTCCCAAAATGAGCAGTGAAATCACGTTACTGAAATTTATACAAGAGACAAAACTGCTGATATATACAACTTATTTCAGGCGAACGAAAGAAGAAGAAGAAGACGTTACTGAACATATTTTTAAGAGATTTCTGTTATCCTTCTATTTGGTTATCTGACCAGCCCTTGTCTGGGCAGTAATAGTTGATTAAAGTTTTACTGAATCTGATTCACATCACTCAGGAAATTTTTTTTATATTACCCTTTCTTTCTTATAATATTTTGAAGTTGTATGTAAAAATAATTTTTTTTTTCTTTTATTGATGCATAACACTGTGTTACTGACACGTTTACGTTTTGATTGGTTTTTCTAAATGACGCTCTTTTTGTTCGATGACTCACTGTCCATTCTGTTTGTGCCTCTCTGCTTCTTTCCATAACAGCAAGTAGGCTACTCTGACTTTAAGAACAATTTTCCTCTGTATGACCTGAGGACAAAATAGTTTCCTCTGAATTTAGAAAATTTGGAAAACACTGTCGGCTGATGTCAAGTGATAGGTTACTTGTTTTCTGCAAACTGGGTCATGTTATAATTTGTGTGTGTGTGTGTGAGAGAGATCATGACAAGTATGCACATATTTCTTTCTTGTAAGTATCCTATATGCATGTGAGATTGTGACCAGTGTGCACAAATTTTTCTCTTGTGTGTATCCTCAGTGTGTTTTTAAATTGTGCTCAGTATGCATGTATTTTTTCCTTGTAAGTATCTTATACGTGTGTGAGATCATGACCATCACGTGTAAATGGTACGTTTGTATATCTCTCCTCTATGTATCCGACAAGATCTAAAACACACTTGTGAAAAATACCTGGCCACTGTGAACAAAAAGGTCAGCTCGCTAAAAATTTGCCTTTTTGTGGCTTCCAGGCTGAAGCTGCAGGTGACTCATGCAGCTGTTGTGGCTCTGCACATTGGGCCACAGAGTGTCGGTATGGGTGACTGCAGGGGAAAGTCGGTTGCCTGGCTGAATTCAGATGGTGGCACATTTTCTATAGTTAGCCCTGCATTTGTCTCTAGTTATTAGACTATGTAGATATATATCAATGCGTATCATCAACCGGAGATAGTTTATTTTATTATTAAAAGGCTTGGCACGTTTAGGATTGTTAATTTTGTATTATTTGTGAACGGCACTTATATTCAGTGAAATAAACATATGTTGGATGTGGTAATCATAGTTCCAGTTGTTTTGGTTCAGATTAGGACTTGTTGTTAGTGTGCCTAATTTATTTGTTGCTTTGCTGGTTAGATTTTACGCACAAGATCTCATGTCTGAGCTAGAATATTTATAATTATAGTCTACACCTAATGAACTCTGTTTCTTTATTTTGCTTTGTACTTTAGTCCTTTTCGCTTCTAGTACACACATATAGATACACATAAGAAAGAAATATATGCATAGTGTATAACTAAGTGAATAGAGAGACTGAGAACAATACAGAGTGATTCTGAAAAATATATGCAATGCAATAACTAAAATTCAAAGTATAGATAAACAATGGGAAATGCTAAAAATAGTCTGTTCAGCAAACAAGCAAAGAGCTATTACCGCAAATTTAAAAAAAACTAAAAAGAAATGGATGAATGAAGATATCTTGAAGTTAATGGACAAGCATAAACAAAATAAAAATAACAAAGAAGAGTATGACAAGATACACAAATAAATCAGAACTAAATGTTTACGAGCCAAAGAAAAATGGTTTAATGAGCAGTGCAACAAAACTACATTAACTGAATTAAAGATGCAAAAAAGTATGCCCAGGTAAATCATCGATTTGACAGAAAGAAAAATAAAAATAAACACGGGATGTTTAAAATAAAAAACGAAAAATGTTAATGGACGAAGATTCTGTAATAAAGAGATGTAATGAATACGAACAAGAATTATATAATAAAGAAAGAACATATTTAACAAAAGAAAAAAAACGTAGAAGAAACACCCATCCTAAAAGAAGAACTGTCTGATACTGTCAAACATATGAAGAAAGGAAAAATAGAGTTACAATGGAGAAAATAGAAGTGCTCTGCGAATTTGGAGTTGACATATCAAATAAACTGTTGAATATAAATGATATGTTAAAGACTGTATTTATAGAACTAACTAAAAGACCTGGGGCAATTGAATGTGATGAATTTCGTACAATCGACCTTATAAACCATGGCACTAAACTGTTACTCAGAATTATAATGAGAAGAACACCAAAAAAAAAATAGAAATTAGCAAAGAGCAGTAGGATTTTATAGAAGAGAAAGGTAAATATAACGCAATATACACACTGCAAACATTAGTAGAGAGATCAATGGAGAAACAGAAAGACATATTTGTGCTTCATAGATTATACCAAAGCGTTTGATAAAGTGAAAAAAGGATGATGAAATGATAAAAGTGTTGGTGGATATCAAAATAAATGGAATAGATCTCAGAATAATAATTAAAAAACATATTTACTGCAAGCAAGCAGCAGCAATTAAATTTGGAAATAAAGTAGGCAGTTATAAACAGATAAAGCGAAGAGCGAGACAAGGATGTGTTGTGTCACCGAATCTCTTCTCTCATAATAGTTAGTAGAATAATAACGAAGGAGGTTAAAGATACACAAGGAATTATAATTGGA